TAATCATCTATGGCAGCTCTTACGGACGAGCAAATTCGTGAGGCATTCAACCTCTTCGATGCCGACGGCTCTGGCGCCATTGATGCAGAGGAGATGGCCCTGGCAATGAAGGGACTCGGGTTTGGCGACCTGCCGCGCGACGAGGTGGAGCGGATGATCCGCACGATGTCCACGGACTCCAAGGGCCTGATTGGGTACAGCGAGTTTGAGCGTGTGGTGAAGTCACGCATGGCGAAGAAGGACTCACCGGAGGAGATACTGAAGGCATTTCAGCTGTTTGACCTCGACAAGAAGGGAAAGATTTCGTTTGCCAACCTGAAGGAGGTGGCCAAACTGCTGGGAGAGAACCCTGGCGACGACGTGCTGCAAGAGATGATCGCAGAGGCTGACGAGGATGGCGATGGCGAGGTCTCCTTTGAGGAGTTTAAAAGTGTTATGATGCAGATGCGGGGAAAGTAAAGCGTTTTGCGTCTGCCTTTTTTTGGGTATGGTGTGACAAATGTCATCGTATACACTGATAGAGAAAGATTGAGTTTTTTTTTTTTTTTGGAGGGAGGGCAGCGCCATTCACTGTGCACTTGCTTTTATTCTGACTTTTTTTTTGTTTGTGGTGCCACCAACGAGCACATTTGTTGTTAGCGTGACTGGAAGACTGGAGATTTTGTTCACTCTATGTGTCATTTTTTTTTGTCTTTTTCTTGTGCTTCCTTCCTCCCCTCACCCCTAGTGGGGTGCGAGACTTGGGCGTTTGCACAAGTGACGGCAGCGTGGGCAATACTTAGGGATGTCCACCGCCACCCATGCACGGTCGACGACATCGTCGATGCTCGTGGGAAGGAGCTCTATGTTAAATCTGCTGTCATTTCCCCCGAATGGGGCGGAAATTCTTCTTAATTCGCTTGCCGTGCAACGAACGGCAGGCTTGGCGTTTGACCTGCGCGACTCTGAGGATGAGGAGAGGATTCAACAAAAGAAGGCGCGACAACAACTGCTCCGTGTCCAGCTTGAGCGGCGGCACGAGTTGGAACTACTGGATAACCAGGCCTCAGAGATCACACAGCAGCTTCTTGCACAAATTACTGTTATTATCCGTGAGCAGCAGACCACGTTGCGACTTGAAGGATATCAAACAATTGTCTTTGATAATGGTGACACATACGAGGGGAATTGGAAGAGTGGTCGCATGCACGGTACGGGATACCTGAAGCGAGTGAAGTCTAATGACCTCTACGAAGGCGAATGGTTTCTTGGTCTACGCAATGGCACCGGCTCATACCACAGTCCCGATTTTGGCACTTTCTACAGCGGGAAATGGCAGGATGGCAAATGGCACGGTCGTGGAGAGCTGATAGAGCCTGAGGGAATTTATACGGGGGAGTTTTTGGATGGACTCCTGCGAGGTTATGGTGAGTATGTGTACAACGATGGACACGTATACAGGGGCGAATGGGTGAATGGCGTGTACAACGGCACAGGGACGTATCTACTTCCAAACGGTGGCAAGTACGAGGGACAGTGGATGGATGGTTGTGAACACGGGCGTGGGACTATGACCTATTTCAATGGGGACACCTACACGGGAGAATGGCAGAACGGACACAAACACGGCATTGGAACGTACACAAGTGCGTCTTTGCAGTATGAGGGTGAGTGGTGCTTTGGAGCTATTGAAGGTCGTGGGCAGTGCAAGTATGCGGATGGCTCTATCTATGAGGGTGAGTGGCACAAAAGCATGTATCATGGTAAAGGACAGTTTATTAGTCCTACAACTAGGCAGAGTTATGCTGGTGAGTTTTTCCACGGCAAACGCTGCGGCCATGGTGTGTACCGCTCTGATGATGTGGTGTACACTGGAGAGTGGCTCAACGACCAGAAACACGGAGAAGGGGAACTTAACATTCGCGGTGGGGGTACGCTTTGTGGGACTTGGCATGAGGATTTGCCACATGGCAAAGGAGTCTACACGATGGGGACTGAAAAGGTGTACGTGCTTTACGAGTCTGGCTACTGTGTTCGCTCCTCCCCGCAAGGCCTCTGCCAACGGGTGGATTTACGGCTGCTGCCTTCGAATGATTGAGTTGCGTAGCTGAATACCACTTGCCTCGAACAAGGTATGATGTACATAGCCTACTCTCTCTTTCTTTTTACTTTGATTCTCTAGTGACATGTAATGGATCGAGTAATCGCATTCATCTGTGTGTCTGTACGAATACAGTTGCGTGTTCCCTTCATTGGCTTTGTTTCCTTGGAATTCACGAATTTTGAGGAACTATCATTCTTTGTTTGACCCCTCAGTGCTTTCTTTTCCCTCACTCCATTCTCTTTCTCTCCCTTACCCTCTTATCACTGTGTGGGTTTATGCCTTCTGCATGGATGCTAGTCTAGGAGAGAGTTGATGATGGCGTCTGCGTTTTCTTCAAACTTTGTCAGCAGTGTGGAGGAGTTCCGTGCCCTTTTCGCCTCGGATAGCGATGATCGGCTTTTGCTCTGCTATGAGCCGTACCATGACGGCGTCGCGGCGACGGATTTAATGGCTCTTGAGGACGCTGTGCGCTCTGCTGTGACGCAGCACGCTACAAAAGTGCGGCTGCACTTCTGGGACTGCGGCAGCAACGCCTTCGTGGAGGCAAAGGAACAACTTGGGAAGGAGCAGGGCACACCGCTATTAGCTGTGTTGTATCGACAGACCCTTGCGGACACGCTTAGGGAGCCGGTGAGCGCAATGATACGAAACATGAATCGTGTCTGCGAGCGCTTGGCAGCTTACCAGCGTGGTGGAAAGATCGCAGTGCTATCCTCCTCGTTGCCGCCGACGGCGTCGCCACATACTGCCACCAACGATTTATGCATGTCAGTGGATGTATCAAGGCTGGTGGGGATGGGCAAGCGACTGATGGCGGAGGGCAAGGCCGAGTATGCGGAGAAGTTTTTTCACCGTGCGCTTGCAACACTTGACGCGGTTAGGTCGCATTGTGACGGCGACGTCAACGTTGACGGAAGCACCGCCCTTTGCTTGGCGTGGGTGGTGTTGGCACAAATAGTTCAGGGAAGGAATGCTGATGCGCACATGCGGCGCCTGGAAGCTGAGTACGCAGGATTTTGCGAGGATGCCGGAAGTGATGCTGCGCGTGTGCGGGCTACCTATCGACTAGTGACCGCGGCACCGCTCACCTGGCGCGGTGACACCTGTAGTCAGAAAAAACTGCGGGATGTACTAGACCGAGACCCGCAGAGCCACAACCATCGCTGTGCCCTTGTCGTGACGTTGTTCCTGGCAGGGGATATCGAGCGCTCCTTGACAGAGGCAGTCAAACTGACCGTGCTGCATGTTCCGTTCGGCACCACCGCTATTTCTGCTATTGGTGAGTTTATTGGCCGCGACCATGCACTGATGCAGACCATCGGTGCTGACCGTGAACGCCCGTCGACAGGCGTGTAACAGTAGCACTGACACACGTGCAAATTTTATGATTCTGTTCTAGCTGTCTGCCTTCACGTGCGTGTCTCTTTCCTTCTCGTGTGTGTATGCTGCTTTTGGATGCATCTTTGTTGGTCGCGGTCCTCCTCTTGTCTTCCCCGCTGCCTGCATCTAGCAGAGAAGCAACCAATTATTTTTTCTTCACTCGCCATTTTTTTCTCCCATCCGCACCTTTGTTGTAGTTACTCCTTCACAGGCCAATTCGTTTATAGCACACAGGCAAGAGATAGGGAGAAAGAGTGAGGGAGAGGTTGCCCAGCGCATACGTCATTCAAGAAACAAAAAGACGGAACACTGCAAGAGGGGCAGGGTAGTCGAAGTGTGCTAAGTAGTTTGCAGCATCCAAGGACTCAACGGCAGAAGTAACTCACGAAGGACGGAACGACGCGCATCAGCACACTAACTTGACAGCTACCCATCTCACGCAGAGGCAATGAATCATGATGATGCGATGTGGAACATTATGGGGCAGACCTTTTGCTCATTTAAAGTGAAAACACGTGACGAGAAGACGCGGTTTTGCCGCAACCCGTACAATGTGACTGGCTTGTGTCAACGTGGTGTTTGCCCGCTCTCCAACGCGCAGTATGCAACCATCATTGAACACGAGGACGAGCTTTATTTGTATGTCAAGACTGCAGAGCGTGCCCACCTTCCACGTCGTCAATGGGAGAAGGTGCGACTTGACGCCAGTTTTCCCCGTGCCTTGGCACAGATCGATGAGGAGTTGCAGTGGTGGGATCATAAGCTTGTAAACAAGATTAAGGCACGTCTGCTGCGGCTTAAGCAGTACATTATGCGCCGTCGCAAGATGTTGCTAGAGCCCAAGGTGGAGTATGTTTCGGTTAACAAGAGACAGGAAGATAAGCTGTTGCGGCGTGAGGAGAAGGCAGAGGCTGCGGCGCGATTAGAGCTGGAGGTCGAGAAGGAGCTGCTGGAGAGACTACGGAAGGGGACGTATGATAGCGTTATGAACTGTAGCCGTGAGGCATTTGAGCGTGTACTGGACCAGGAGGAGGATCGGGCGGAGCTCGAGGCTTTAGAGGATGAAGAGGATGAGGAATTCCCGGAGTTTGTCATGGACGAGGAAGACGAGGAGGAGGAGGAAAGCACGGCGAAAAACGGGGTACGCGTGAACGGGCGAAAGCCCGCACGACGACAGCGTCTGGTTATTGAGGAGGAGCTGGAGCATGAACAGCCGCAGAAGCGTAGCCGTGTGGACGAGCTGGACTGGTGAGCTTCATCCAACGACTGCTGGGAACTGCGGGTAGTGAATGTTGCCAAAGACTCACGGGCAGGCACGGTCGCATGTGTGTTCCGCAGAAGAGGGGAACATGTGTGTGCAGGTGCGGGTGTCTGCGGCTGCGTGTACCTGAGAGAGGGTGATAACAGTACGGTAATGCACTATTTTTAATGCAAACGCGAAAAAAGAATGGATGAAGAGGGGCAGGAGGATGGAAAACAGGAAAAAAAGAGGGTGAGACGAAGGGGGGGGGGGTATTGGAAGGAAAAGAGGAAGCAGTAGTGGAGGGAGTTATGCACCGCAGAGTACATGCCTTGCATGCAGGCCATTCTTTCTTTCTTTTATCATCATCATCGCCATCCCCATTCCCATTGATTCTTTTCTTTGTCGAGTAAGTTGGCGCCATTGCATCTACTCCAGTGCACGATGTATTATACGCGTGCATATATATATGTCACTACAAGTCGCACATACACTTGTCTATCCCACCTAAGTAATAGCGGGAGCAGCAGCCATTATAGTCCTTGTAGTAAGATTACTGCCGCCGCTATTGCTTAGGTGGGATAGACAAGTGTATGTGCGACTTGTAATAGACGGGCGCGTGCGTTTCTGGTTTTTCATCGCACTTTTTCTTGACCACACATTTTTTTTCTTTCTCTCTTTGCCCTTTTTTTTTCAACTTCGTGTTTCACTGCCCACCGGCCTCACCGCAGCGCGTGGGAATCGGTGCGGTCTGCTGGGTCAACACACGGACCGCGGAATAAAGACGTTCGAAGGCAAATACGTTGTGGGGTTGCAAAGTAACAGACAACCACAGCCACAATACAGGAAAGACAGTCAGTAGCAAGAGGGAGAAGGAAAGAAAAAGGGAAGATTAAAGGAAAAAGAGCTCCATTTGAAGCAACACAATGCAGGGACGGTTTGGCAGCACCACCGCCTTTGGACAGACAAGTGGGCTGCGGCCAGGCTCAAGTCTGCGCCCGGGTTCACAGATGCGCCCTGGCTCGCAGTTACGCGGGGCGCAGGTGGCCGGTGTGGGTGAGAGCCTGCAGCAGCCGGTGGCGGTCTCGGCGAAGGCACCAGTGACACTGGAAGGGATGCGAGCCGCGACGCGGTCTGGTACGGCCGGGCCGGGGCGTCAGGTGGGGGACCGAAGCTACTACATTGGACTGCTGCGGCCAAAGATTACGGAGCTGACGACTGAGATTCAGCATCTGAACGAGCAGGAGAGCCTTATTGAAAAGAACAGCTCCGTATTGGCTCAGCTGCATCAGCGCAACAAAAGCTTGACTGATGAGGTTACAAAATTGAAAGGGGTCCTTGCCGATATTAACTTGGCTGTGGAGAAGAGTACCTCGCAGGATGCCAATAGTGTGAAGGAACAGGCTACAAAACTTACATATTTGAATGTTGACCGGCGCAAGCAGGTGGACCAACTTTTTCTAAATGTGAAGGAGGTGGAGACACAAACGAAGAAGAATGTGCAGATTTTGGAAGAGGAGATGCAGCAGCTGGATCGTCGCATTATTGCAGAGAATCAGGATTATAACCTTTACAACACCACCAGGAATGAAGCTTATGGTGTTTCAGACGCGGTGCTCGATCTTCAGCACCAAGTGCGGACGTTGACGGCGAAGCAGGAGCTGCATATGGCACAAATTGCGACAGACACGGACAAGCGGCGGGCCGCGGAGGTGCTGCGGGAGATCCTACGCAAGCGGCAGCTAAGAGAGGAGCTCACGAAACAGTGTGCCCTCTCTGTAGAGGAGGAGCGGCAGTTACTCATTAAGCAAGTGAAAACCGCCCGTGACGATATTGAGGTTCTGGAACGGCAAGTGAACGAAACACGCGATGTCTTGGGGGAGTCTAAGAGCCGTTGTAATTCCCTGGATGAAGAGTTAAAAAACTACAGTGGCGAGAACCTTAAGGCGTTTCAGGAGTTGCAGGAAAAAGACCGTGAGCTGCAGTCCTTCATGGATTCCCTTCCTGAAAAACAGAAGGAGGAGTCCGACAAGATTGCCAACGTGCAGGCAAACATCTCGTTGCTGCTTGAACGCGTCTCTCAGGCGCTAGAGTTACGGAAGCAGATACCAGCAGAAGGTGCCTCCCATGCACTCCATGCGCTAGAGAGTGAGGTGGACGTGAGGCGCAACCAGATTGAGAATGACCAGGTGACGCACCAGCGCCTTGAAAAGGAGTTGCTGGACCGCAAGGCGGAGCTTCAAAAAGTAGAAAATCTTGACACCAAAATCAATGCGGAGCTGCAGGCACACGCGCGGAAGATGGAAGAACAGTCGCAGGAGATGGTCAAGTACAGCGATCTGGATGGACTGCGTCGCGACGTTGAAAAACGCCGTGATTATCTCGTGAAGGAGCGGACATTTTTGACGAAACTTCGGGACTCCAGCAAGCAGCAGTTAAACGCCCTTAGCGCGTCAAACGAGGCACTGCAGAAGCGCCTTAACGAGGAAGCCGCCTTTCGCTCCATATCTGCGCTCGAGGGCCGTTTGCGGCATTTGCGGCAATCCAGCTTTTCGTTGGAGGAGTTTGTGCGCTTGAAGGGCAAGGAGAGTTATTATCTTGGCGTCAAGACGGACTGCCTGATGCTTGTGGAGGAAATCAATTTGCTGCTGAAAGAAGGCGGTAGCAACCGCGGCGTCGGAGCACCCCCCGTTTTGCTTGTGAGTGACCAGTAACAAAGAAAGACAATGCGAGCGAGAAAGGGTGAGTCAGAAAAACATTTTTAATATATATATATATATATACGTACAAGGGGGAAAAAATGGAAAGCGGAACAGCACCGAGAAGCTCTGAACGGGACAGTCGGTGGTGGCGGTGATGTGGCACTGCTGTGCACACACAATGACAACGACGGCTTTTTGGAATGTAGAGAAAAGGACTTGTCTGACGTCTTGGGGCGGGACAGTGCGTCGTTTGCAGCAGGTTTACCGCTGATGCAAAAAAAAAAAGCATATGTTTGCGGGTGTGGCCTTGTAGACGTGAGATAGACAATGAGAGGAAGACAACGGACAGTTTTTTTTTTTTTTGTGTTTTTGCTGCAAAGAACATGGGTGAAATGATTCAGTTTGGTACTTGTGTGCGTATGTTTCTTAGTGACTTTGTGAAAAGTGGAAATTCTGGAACAATTGCTTTTGTGCGTTTCTTTTTTCTTCCACTCCCCACCCCTTTTTGCTTGCTTGCTTACTTGCTTGTCACTGACATTTGTGTTTGGGTAAAGGTGATATTGCATCAACGAAAGAATTATTTGTACCCCTCTTCGACTTATTACTTTGTCATTTAAGTTGTCCTCCTGCGATGACATCTATGGAGCGGTTTAAGTGTGTGTACGCCGAGATCCAGGCCTTTCTGCTAGAGCAGTTGAACTCCGACTATGAGATGGACCCCAATCGCAGCAAATACCTCCGCCGCATGATGGACACGACGTGTCTTGGTGGCAAATATATCCGTGGTCTGACAGTGGTGAACGTGGCGGAGGGATTCATGGCTGCTGGCTCATATGATGAGGCGACGAAGGAACGTGTCCTCCATGATGCCTGTATCTGCGGTTGGATGGTTGAGTTTCTTCAGGCTCACTACTTGGTGGAGGACGACATTATGGACAACAGTCAAATGCGTCGTGGGAAACCGTGTTGGTATTGTTTTCCTGGTGTCACTGTCCAGAGTGCCATTAACGACGGCCTCATTCTGAAAGCATGGACGCAAACAATGGCGTTTCACTACTTTGCGGATCGCCCTTTTTTAAAGGATTTACTTTACCTCTTTCAGAGGACCGACTACGCGACCTCAATTGGACAGTTTTATGACGTGACCTCCATGTGTGACTCCAAAAAACTGGACCCTGAAGTGGCACAGCCTAGGACAACCGATTTTGCTGAATTTACCTTGTCTAATTACAAACGCGTGGTGAAGTACAAGACAGCTTTCTACACCTATCTGCTTCCACTTGTTATGGGGCTTTTTGTGAGCGGGGGGATCTCTTCTGTTGAAATGAATTTGGTAGAGCGCGTTGCAATGGTGATGGGTGAGTTTTTCCAGGTGCAGGACGACGTCATGGACTGCTTCACCCCGCCAGAGCAGCTTGGGAAGGTTGGAACCGACATTGAGGATGCCAAGTGCTCCTGGTTGGCTGTGACATTCCTCATGAAAGCCAATGCCGCACAGGTGGCCGAGTTTAAGGCCAACTACGGTGACACAGACCCGGCGAAGGTCGCCGTGGTGAAGCGGCTCTATGACGAGGTGGATTTGCGAGCGGATTTCGCCATCTATGAAGCGGGAGTCGCACGGGAGATGGGGGTGCTTATCGAGCAGCTGAAGCGGACTTCTCCCGTATTTGCGTCAAGTGTCGCCGTACTCTGGGAAAAAACCCACAAACGTATAAAGTAACTGGGCGTGGAAAGCATAGCTTGGCAAAAAAGACTCTATAGACACATATAAGTTGAAAAAAAAAATGTGACCACAAGAATAGGTGTCGGTGTTGGTAGGCATAGCAGGAAGTGGAATGTGTGTGCGTGGGTGTTTGGGGGTGGGGGGCATGTTAATTAAAATGGCTGCTCTGGAACTGCCCCAATGAAGTGTATATTTTAATGAGTACTTTTGAATTTGTTACCAACAAATCCTCCACATTTTCTTTACGGTATTGTAAAGAAGCAAGGAAATGGGGGGGGGGCGCGTATGCGCTACATCTGAGGTATTATTCATGCTTGGATGTGTCGCGTGTGAGGCTTGCATCGTCGGAGTTCTCACAATGACGCCCACATCTACATTCTGTTATGATTCTCCCTGATACTCTGACCCCCCCTTTTTTTTTGGGTTGGGGGTATATCGATTTTTCCTTTTCTTCTACTTTTTTTTTGTCGTTTTTTTTTCTTTTGGTGGGGCTGCGTAGAATAGGTGAGAGTAAAGTAGTTTTCTCTCCTGTTCTTGCTGCTCGCCTCCTCGCCTCCTCGCCTCCTCGCCTCCTCGCCGTCGTCAGTTGACGCAGCCTTCTGAGAGGGGGATAACGTGGACGTGAGTGAGAGTGCGAGAGAACGAAAGGCCGGTTCTGCTGTGCGTATTGATATTGTTCCTATTCCGTCACACTATCCTGGGTGGGTGCGAAGACCCCTCCTGCTCATCTCGTCGCCTGATCAGCGTCAAGGGGTTCCTGGTGGCGGCACAACAGGAGTAAAGGAAAAAAAAGTGTGAAAGAAAGAAAGAAAGCACAACAAATATTTCCAAACAGCAACAGCGAAAACAAAACAAAACTTCTTTTCCTGGGGGAAAGTAGGTGGGGCGCAAATGTCGCTGCTTTGCTGTGATTTACCGGAGGGGCAGTGGATAGATGTGTATGGTGATCCAGTGCGGCCGCGGCGTTCAGGTTTTGAATGCCCGTTAGATTTACTTCAGATCTTTGCGTGGGTCTTCATTGTGTTCCTAGCTATGCTGCACTACACTCTGCACGTGCCGTTTTTGGGACCTGTGTTGTGCATTGTCATCGCCAGCGTTTCTGGCGTTTTTTTCATGATCATCGTTACGCTGAAGATCTCGCTTTCACTTAGTAAGATCGAGGATCCTGTCATATTTCGCACGGACTTGCCTCGGCTGGACCAGACTGAACTGACGCTGGAGGCTGCTCCATCCGGCACGGTGCCCTGCGTATTCTGCCGTCGTTTTGTAAAGGCTAGTAGCAAACACTGTGGGGTGTGTGACAAATGCGTGCCTGGATTTGATCACCATTGTCGCTGGTTGAATGCTTGCGTCGGTGTGGCTAACTACAAGCATTTTTGTGTCTTTATGTGGATGGCGTGGTGTGGTATGGCTTACCTCTTTGCGGTCGGATTGTACGTTCTGATCGATGCCATTCAAGTGAGAGAGAAATACGAGGACATTTTACATCGCCGTTATCATTCCAGCCACTATACGAGCTACATAGTGTTACTCTTCATTCCACTCTTGTTGTGCGCGGCAAGCATGTGCGTCCTTGGACATCTCATTATCTTTCACGTGTACCTTTGTTGCACCCACAAGACGACGTACCAGCACATGGTTGAAAAGCGTGAGAGGAAACGTGAACACCGACGTTTAGAAGGTCTTCAGGAACAAATGCAGGGTAGGAATGATAAACAAGGCTTTTGTTCCTGGCTTTCCATCCGTAAACGTCGCGATTTTAGGAAGTACAAGCGAAGAAAAGCTGACAATAACAATGCCGCTCAAAACAACGAAAATAACGGTGACACGATGCAGTTTACTGTAGTTCCCACGCAGCCATCGTCCCAGGTTCCACAGGAACCTTATCCAAATGATACCCATTAAATGGTGCCTATTTATTCTAAACAGTGGGCGGCTCACTCTGGTTGTTTTCAGAGGAACGAGAACGTGGTGATATGTGTGTTTGTGAGAAGTGGGTTGGGTGGAGACGGCTGTCGGGGGTGGGGGCATATCTTATTGCGTGCGTTAGAGGTGCCGCTGCGTTACATGACGATAGGACGAAAATGGGACGTTTTTGGTTGTCAGCTCACCCCTGCTTCTTCCCACGCCAACAAGAAGGATGAGGGTGGGTAACCTACCTGCACGCAACTTTAGTGAGTGGCGATGCCGGTGTCAGTTCTGCCTCTTTCAGGCGATCTGAAGCTTCAACGCATGGGGCAGGCGGAGCGCGCGGGTGAAGACGAAGAAGCTGAGGCATAAACCGATGTAATTGGAGCCAAAACGGGGCTCGATGGAGAATTACTCTTCCTTGCGACGGCTGGTGGTATGCATGGCCATGTTTGAGTGCGTGCGCCAGGTAGAGGCGCAAACGAGCTGTCAGGGTGACGTTAATTCAGCGAAGCCAAAATAAATAAAGAGCAATAAGGAGCACAGTATAATTGCGCATCACGCACACATACGCACGCGGACGACTCACCCCTTTTTTTCCTGCTCCCATCATCGTTGCTCCTGCGGCATGACTAGGGCAATCCATATTAATTGTTGCCCCGCATTTATTTACTTTTCACGTCGTGGATTCTCACAACTAGCGGGAGAAGAACAAAGAAGAAAGAGGCAATTGAAAGAGAAAAAAAAACAATACACACACACACACACACAAACAAGCAAACAAAAAGAACGGTGACCTGTCTCCTTCCCTACCACCCACTGTTTGAAGGCAGAGAAGACGTTGTTGACACGCACACACGCTCTCATACAGCGAGAGTGCGTGCATACAGAAGAATCAATAGCGGCGGAACGCAGAAACTACAATAAAAAAGGCCAAGGAGATGATTTTGGATGCGTCCACTCCCTCCATTGAGGTGGGTTCATTTTTGCTGCGGCACTTTGGAGATCCGTGCAGCAGTTCTGCACGGCTGCTGGGGGGTCACTACTGCCGCCGGTAGCAGCATGTTCCAAGGCAGTAGGGGAAAGGCTGGTGGTAGTGGCACGAATAGCGATGGCGCTAACAGGGGGACAACTGACGGGAATGATCAACTGCTCTCTCGCAATTTTTATTACGGTGGCCCATTGGATGCACCGGACACCTCCTTGTCTCCTGTTTTCAGAGCAGTGACTCCAACTGATGCCACGGCCTCCACAAAGGCTGACAATGCCGCTGCAGGCCCTTACTCCTTATCTACTGCCCAACGAGGTATACCGTTAATCGTGTTTTATGGCAACAACGCCATGTCTGACTCTCGGTTTCACGAAGTTGTGGCACAGGAAGAGGAACGACGTGTGACTCGGCACAAAAAACTTTTTGAGGACCTCATAGTGTTTGAGGGTGGGGCGCTTTCAGACCACGATTCACTAGGCACCTCACTTATCATGCAGGACTTTATTCACTTTGCTCTCTATCATAAGAAGTGGGGGTATTATCCGAAGCTGGACTGCAAGTATCGACAGTTCATGACAAGCGGTTACTTTGATCCAGTACCATTTGGCAGCCTTCGGAATCAGCATGACTATGAACGTTATGTTGGCAAGATTCACAATTCAACTCCTGCCTGCATTACGCCAACACAGCTTTTTCACTCTCACTACGGTTGGGTGCTGGCGGAATATTTAATGACGATGATGCGGGCAAAATTTGACCCCCATGAGCCGCTTGTCGTGTATGACGTTGGGGCAGGAACAGGGGCACTGGCGGTGAGTGTGCTGGACTACCTTGCGGAGCACTTTTCTGTCGTGTATGCGCAGTGTGAGTACCACGTGGTGGAGCAAAATCCTTAGCTTGTGCAGGTGCTTCGTAACCGCCTCATTACACACTACCATCATGTTAAAATACATAACATTTCCATTCTTAATTGGCGTCAGTTGGAACGTCGTCGCTGCATTGTGCTGGGGGTTGAACTTCTTTCCGGGATGCCGCACGACTGCATCGTGCTTAGCGGTGATGGGGTTTGTAACGAACACTGGTTTGGCTTTCAGCAGCATGACAACCTTTCCACTGGCCGTGAACGTTACTACGCTCTGAAGGACCCTGTCATCCTTCGCTACCTGCGTTACTTGCGTTGGATGCAGGAGGAGTCATTTCATAGCCTCAAGGTGTTGTGTCTGACTGGTGGTCGTGACAACATTGATCCACCTCCATTTACTAGCATTGGGCCGAACATGCTGGATTCTCTGCGTGTTATTGTCACAAAGGTTCTCTGGACCCACAGCCCACTTCGAAGTTTCTGGCTTCCTACGGCTGCAATGCAGTTCCTCGAGACGTGTGCCGCTTCCTTTCCCAGACATCATCTTTTTCTTCTTGACTGGTCAGGTGTACGACAGGCTCTACCGGGTGTTAACGGACCAGTATGCCAATGCAAAGTGCGTGTGGCCAAGGATCTCTATCTTCGCCGCCCCGCCGACTCGCTGCATGGCAACGCCGGCATGGTTGACATTTGTTTCCCGACTGACTTTGAGCATCTGGCGGTAGTGTACCGTAACATCTGCGGGGCGCACAAAGATATCTCAAGCCTCACTCACCCGCAGTTCTGGAATACATTTGGCGGCGACAAGACTGCCCTTTTCACGACACGCAGCGGCTTCAATCCGCTTCTCGAAGTCTTTGAGCCGTTTCACGTCTTTGCCGCACACCACCCTCCAGAAATGTGAGGCCCGGCTTTTATTATTGTCATCGTTATTCTTGCATGGGTTGGATGTGCGCGTGTGCGAGGGGAGGTGCCATTGCGCGTAGAGTGGCAATAACAAAATGCCATGACTCTCATGGGGGCCCCGGCACTAGAGCAGAGTCGAAGGCGTGTGTGTGTGTGTGTGTGCATGTGGGAGAGAATGTTTTTGTTTTTTTTCGTTTTTGGTCGTTGCTGTAGATGAGGGAGGGATGATGCCTGTGCGGGTCACACACAGCTTCTATCCTTTTTCTTCGTCCTCTTTTTTTTCTCTCTCTCTTTGCGTGAGTGTGTGCATGTGTGGGTGCAACACAAGTGTTACCACCGCTGCAGTTTTCAAGGTAAACAAAAGAAGCAGAGCGGGGACGAAGAAGTGGGCCGCCACTTGCTGGGGATGGGTTGAGTATGGAGGACTTTGTTACCACTATCATTGCTACTCTGCAAACACGTGTGCCATTCTCTGCGAAACCTTTTTTATTCTTTCTCTTCTTACTGTTGCTTCCTTCACGCACACACCCAAAGAGTCAATTAGTTAGGTTAAATTAGTGACCGGCTGCTGCCTATTTTCCTCTCTTGCGAGTGGGTGTGTGTGCATCTGTGACTCGTCTCCTTTCTTTTGCTCTACGAAACGTCGCTCTTGGTGTGTGTGTATTTTCTCCCCCTAACACACACTCGTCCCACTTTTTGTTTATCTTGCTGCTAACGGGCCTTTCTATCGGCCAGACCGCACGTATCGCCCGTTCCCCCCCCCCCCCCCCAATCCATTTTCTTGGTTCACGAGGAAAATAGGAAAAGTGGGCGTTCTTCACCTTTTAGATTCTGCGTGCTGCTCCACTCATTGTGGCACAGAAGGTGCCTTGCACATATCTGTACGTTATATATATATATATATATATATTATACGTGCATTGCAGGGTGGGGTGCGTTCTACACCGCATCCAATCACACAACCCGTGACTGAGGAGTGAGCGGCAGAAACAGAAGCGCAGATAAACAACAAGAAGGGAAAAGAAGAGAGGGCACGCCCGTCTGGGTTTTCTTTTTCCACATATTGCGTTATCAGCAGGCGCTAGCGGGGTGAGGCGCGATACACACACACACACACACACACACAGGGACGAAAACAGGGCACAAGCAAAAAACAACAACAACATCAACAACAGTAGCAAAGAAAGCGAAATAAGATACCGGAGAGGCAGGATACATTGCGAAGGAGGAGAAAAAGAAGGAACTGCACACATTGTTAGGTTGTGTTTTTAGTGTTTTGCATTTCTTTGTGCTTTTCCTTGTCGTTTATTGCACCGCTGTTTTTCCTCTACTCCTGACGTACTACTACTACTACTGGTGCGAGAGGGTGGCAACAACCGATTGGGAAGGGACTGGAAGGAACGAAGAGGAAGGTTGAAGGGATATTTCACCCAGAGCACAGGCAGAGCCTAGAGAAAGAGCAAAAAGATAATAATCCACATAATCACAGGCACAAAGGGACTGTGTGTGGTTGTGGTGGATTTTGGTCTTGTCAGTGCGTTGATCGTTGCAGTCTATTATTACTGGTGCTTGTATTCATTTTGTGGAGATGCGTGCACGCGGAACATCCGATATGGGTGTGCCCCCGCTATCTCCTGAGGAAGTACACAATAACATTAAGGCATTCCTGAAAAGTGTTGATGAACCGGTAATCTCCGGCAGCCTTGTGGTGTACGAGTTTCTTGACAACGCCCTTGAACTCCAATGGTCGCTGGCAAGAGTACTGAAGCTGGGCGAGCACTACGTCCAGCTCCAGCGATGGCGAGCAAAGAATGGGAGCTACGCTGACGTCTTAAATGCACTCCAGAAAGAGAAAGAACAGAAGGAAGAGGAGATGCGGAACTGCCAGCACACTCTGTCGCAGCAGCGGGATGAGTTGGCGACGGTTCGACGAGACACCGAGGCACGAGTGGCACGTGCAAAGGAAGAAGTGGAAAACGCGCGCCGTTCTTTGGCAGCGGTGGAGGAGGTGTGGTTACATGAAGCCTTCAACGCCCGTCTTCCCTCAGCAGGACTTTGCCTGGTGCTTGAGGCCAGCGTTGCAATTTTGAACAGTGACGGGGCGGGGGAAGCGGTAACAGGATGGGAGGAGCTCCGCCCCGTAGTGCGGGATCCAGCCTTTATTAACAGGTTGCTGGAATACTGCCCTGCTGTCGGAAAGGACGCGAATGCGTGGCAGGACATCGTCAACAACTACCAGCCGCGACTTCTAAAACTGCGAGAGCAAATACTGCGTCACTCAGTAAACATCCTACCAGCGTCCCCTCTTGCCCTGGAGTCAGTTATTTGCGACTGGGTACTCGCTCAATTGAACACCATCATCGTGTTTCATGCGCTTGAAAAATCGCAAACGCGCGCTAAAGAGATTGGTGAAGACATAAACACCAACATTAGTCGCATGAAGCTACTCGATATACAAATTAGGAAGAATGCCAAGCAACAGCATCTCTGCAACGAAGGCTACGGTATCATCACTGACAAAAATGACAAAACCGATGCGTGCCTCACCTTTAGTGAGGCCAGCGACATCGCACCAATCACAGTCCCCCGCTCCTCGATAACAGCATCAATCAAGGCCAACAGTACCGGCGTTGCTGTCATCACACAAGAGGAGAGCAAACGCCTTCTTTCTAGAGCGTCCATGCACCGTCCATTACTTTACGCAGCATTACACACAGCGCTAAACAATGTAAATCATATAAAAGATAAATACCACACCAATGCCACTTTGCTTCAGGAACTAAGTGAAAAGACAAATAATGTACATAAGCAGAACAATGACCTGACAAAACAGCTAAAAACAGCGAACACAGAAATCAACAAAGTTCACCAAGAACTTCTTAGAAATAAGCATCTTTCCAAACAGGCACAAGAACATTACGACCAACAACGCCGACACATTCAGGAACAACACGACAAAGCGTTGCGCCAACTACAAGACGGTCAGCGCCTGTTTAAAGACATGCAAAACAAAGAACAACAACGCCTGAAGGAGGAAATAAAACGTCTAGCAGAAGAGAAAAAACAAGTGGAAAATGAAAATGCCAACAACCATACCGCCCTACAACAAACACAAAGTCAGATAAAGCAACTCAATCAACAGGCGGACGACCTCCGCCGACAACTCGTAGACACAGGACACGAATTCAAAAAAATGCTCAATGCGCATGAAGAAGATAAAACACGCTTGATAAATGATCTCAATAAGGTTAATGATCGAGAGAAAGATATGAAGCAGAAACTGAAAGAGCTGCGTGCTGAGAATGAGCAGCTGCGTGAAGAGAACGAGCAGTTGCGTGCTGAAAATGAGCAGCTGTATGGCGCGGACGAGGACAAGGTTCGTGCGTTGGAGGAGCTGAACGACCGGGCGGAGGAGATGAACCGGCAGCTGGAGGAGTTGCGTGCTGAAAATGAGCAGCTGCGTGCCGGGGACGACGGCAACTTTCGTTCATTGGAGGAGCTGAATGATCGGGCGGAGGACATGAACCGGCA